TGACAATTTTCAATCATACAAAAGATATATGGATGGCATTTCCGTCGTTTGTGACAACAGTTATGGAGGATTTCATCATGAGCTGACATCAGTTAGGGAACCACTGGAAAACCTGTGAATACTGGACAGCTGTTTCGTCCTAGTTCGAGACTCTTCAGCAGTACGCATCCACCGCCACAGTCCGAACCCAGGACATTCCGGATACAAGGCTAGCGAGCTCGTAGACCATTGAGCCACTGGGACCCGATCCAACGGCCCATGAATCCTAACTTCAGCCAATTCACGACATACCGCGACCATTTCGCAATGTCTTCTTCGATGAGTTACTGCCTCATCTTCAACCTTCTGTACCTTACTGGTCACGGCTTCCCACTACAACCCCAGGTCACTGCCTGAATAGCTAGCTGTCCAGTACTCCCAACTGGTTTTCCAATGGCTCTCTAACTGATGTCAGCTCATGATGAAATCCTATAACCAATCAAATTAAATCCTTGTAATCCCAACACATGAATTATGGATATTACTCAAAGGACATACTGATATATATATATATATATATATAGGTCAAATTTATTAAAGAATAAAGGATACATCAAAAAAGGGCAAAAGGTCAAATATCAAATCGATAAAAAGTTCACTACCAATATAAATTACCAGAAAGATAAGAAAACTTCTAATAACAGCCAATTACAGTCAAGTTTATGAGGAGAGAAAGAGAGAGCAAGAGTGAGTGAGTGAATGAGTGAGAGGGAGGGATGGAGGAGAGCGAGTTACATCATTCTTGGAGAATTCAAATGAATACATCTCATATTAAAGCTTCTACTGAAGGTGCTGTCTAGAGTGAGAGATAGAGACAATGAATGGTTTTCAACTTAAAACCACCACCAATCAGCACTCGTAGAGAATAATAAGACTAACAACAGAGAGACAATTAGTCAGGGTTTAGCAACAACACACAGTTGAGGATCATGGCAACAAACTGTGTGCTTCGATGTCTGTCTGTCTGTCTATCTATCTATGCGTCTATCAATGCCAAGGCAAATGACTAACCTCATAATACATTTAACACATTTACAATAAAAAAAATCAGCTTCCCCACATAAAATCTCAATAAAAAAATCAAAACAAGTGATAATTCAGCGAAGAGACTCTTCTCAACAACGAATTTATCATCAAGCTGTACAATCGCGCATGTATACGGTTTTTAAGAAATTTTGCCAACGAACCCATCTACAACCTATCGCCCAACAAATGTTCACAAGGAAATAGGAATGGACTGGATATGCGCACTAGGGAGACCCATGAGAAGCTTGTGTTGACAATCATATGGCCAGTTAAAAAGACTCCACAGAACAGAGTAAAAAAATAAAGATGTGCTTCCGAAGTCTTATGTTCCACTCGGAACTCAAGAGAGTGACAATAATAATAATGAATAAATAAATAATATGCATTAAAAGAAATTTACCTCGAACAGGTTGAATTTTCCGATTAATTGAAACTGATGGATCACGATAAAGTGAATGGGGTGGAAAATTTTCAATATCGTCTTTTGTAGGCATATTCCGGTGTTTATTGTTATTCTGAGAAGTGAATATGCTGTGCTTTGACGGCGACAAAGAGGTATTGTTCAACTTCGCGTTTTTATCTATTTGACCAGATTCCTGCATATCGCATACAATAATAGAGATTAAAACAACATAGGATGTATCAGTAACAGGAATAAAAGTAGACAGGAAATATATTCTGTTCGATAAACAATTTAGAGTAGTTAGTCTCTTTAGTAAATTTAGACAGAGCAGTCGGTACGGCTTGTCTTGCTCGACGCCTGTGTAACCTGGCCTCTCCAAGCTAAGGATGTGCGGCGACTCTGCGTATTCAATCATCACTGTCTCCGCAGGATTGCTTGCGCTCAATGGCATCACCGCGTGAGTAATTCTGAGGTCCGGCGGCATATATTTTGGGCACAGTGGAGATGACCATTCGTTCATCGAGTGTCGTCATCTGGAAACACCAGCTTCGGTGGCTTGGAAATGTGCTGCGAATGTCATCCCAGAGGTTTCCGTACAAGTCTCTTTTGACTAGCCCTGAGGCGGGGTGGAAAAAGCGGAGAGATGGTCAGCCCGTGACATGCAGTCGTGGGATGAAGGATATTTGTGTTAAGTTAGCATGGGCTGGTGCATCACGACTCCCTGGTTGCGGTCCGAGGGGTAGCGCGAAACGTTATCGGATATGGCAAAGAATCGCAGTCATCAATGGCGAACGTGCTGCGATTTCCTGTTTTCTTTCTTACCCGGCGATAGTTGACGAATACTGTTTGAACTTGTTAAATATGACTGTTTTCTTTCCAGATGAAGTTCTTTATCCGTTCTCCACCTATATTTTTACTTTTAATCTATGTTGTTTTATTATTATTGTGTGGCTCATCTTCTTGGTAGCATATTGTACCAAAGAATAATAAATGTTACATCCTATACTCCATACCAATTTACATGTGTGTGTGTGTGTGTGCGGTCAAAAATACACTCGAGGGGGGTAATCACACTTTACGCTTGAGGACAGGCGAACATATACACCCAAATGGGATGAAATAACAAATGAACTATGGAATTGTGATAAACACATACAGTAGACCTACTTACTTCGTCTATAACTACACACTTAATTGAGATATGAATCACAAGATTGGTATCTCAAACAAAGCAGTTTTCAAGATTATCTACAAGAAACACCAGCAGGGGGATATATATACTGAAACACGCTGAGAGGATAGCTGTCCATGAGAATTAAATCCTTCCACGTTCTGTGTACCAAAATACTTCATCATTATTACTCTTAACCTACCCATTATTATTATTATTGTTTCCTTTAGTTGCCAGAGGAAAATAGGGCTTCAGCCACACGTCTCCACTGCGTTTTATTCCCCGCCAACATTTTCACGTGGCTACACGTCTGCCCACATGCTTTCATCTCCTCTTCACATGACCTCCTCAATGCCACCCCACGCTCGCACTGACGACCAACTCGCCACTTCCCATTCGGGTTCCATTCGAGCAATGGCCTGGCGTGTGATGTCACTCACTTGATGGTTTGTTTTCCCAGAGTATGGCCAGCCAATTCACCTCCATTTCTTCTTGCATATTTGTTGCGCAACTGGTTCCTAGTTTGTTCGTTGCAAGAGATCCCTGTTGCTGATCTTTTCTGGCCATCTGATCTTGAGCGAAGTATTGAGCGAAGACAGCTGTTGATGAAGGTCTGTAGTTTGTTCGAAGTGGTCTTCGTGACACGGCGCCAAGTCTCTGATTCGTATAGTAGCACTGACTTTACATTCAAGTTGAAAATCCTGATCTAATTTTTCATTCTGAGTGCTGTTGACCTACACACAGACATAATAGTAATGAAAGCTTTTCTGCCTTGCTTTCTCGATCCTCTCTTTTATATCCTCATCAGTTCCGTCCGCCTGTAGTTGGAACGATGCTTCCCAGGTAGGTAGGTAGGTGAAGGAGGTTGCTTCTTTTAGATTCCTCTTATTCATCCTGATTGTTGTCTGTTGTTGCTGCTGTTGGCCAGGGATCTTCATCACCTCTGTTTTCTCTATGTTCACCTGAAATCCTACCTACCATGGTAATCCTTATTTGATTTATATATTACTGAGAGAAGAGTTCATTATTATCCTTCTTATTCTTAAATCTCTTTATTATTTTGTTTATTTTAACAGCCCTTTCATTTTTTTTAAATAAATTGAATTGACAAGTAAATGTATGTATGATCAGATTGTGTTGAGAATGTCCCCATTGCACAAAAATACATCAAACCACATTTTTTTCTCTCAGATAAACACCCTCTTGTTAACAACATTATCCAAAATTTATTAAAAAAAGGAGTAATTGTTTTAAACAATTTAATTACAATAGTTGATACTTGTTTGAATATATCAACTAATTTTCCGACTATTTATACCCTTTTCTCTGTTACGGATGCTCACTGTCCTCATTTCTGTTTAATTTCATTACAGATATACTGATAGATCTAACTCAAAATGACTTATGGGTAAATTTTGTTTTGATAAAGTCTCACAGCTCTGTTATACAGTAATGTTTACTGATGACCAAGTTTCGAGCACAATTTATTACTGCTCATAATCATATCAAGGTAATCACACGACTTCCTAAATTCATTTATATAGTTCCATTGTTTTTTCACTTGATTTGATTGGTAGTAATATTTTCCATATTTCAGGTATGAGTGATGAATCATTCCTATTGCATGTGTTGGGTGTAGATTCGATGAACAAGGATTCAGTAATCAACCTCTATCTCCACCTACCTAGATTACTTTTTAGAATTTTAACCCTCTCCCACCCACCCTATTGTGTGGTTGTGTGCTAATGCATGCATTGCAATGCAGTGCTGAGCTTTTTTCTAAATTACTCATCTTCTCGGGGTCAACCATTCTTACCTTAGCTAAATTCTTATGTTCTGACAATCTGACTACCCCTGACCTACTAGTTTGACCTATGTAGTTGACTTAACTCACAGTCATTGCAGGGTATTTTGTAAATTATATTATTTTATATTATTATATTATTACACATGCAATAGGAATGATTCATCACTCATACCCGAAATATGGAAAATATTACTACCAATCAAATCAAGTGAAAAACAATGGAACTATATAAAATAAATTTAGGAAGTCGTGTGATTACCTTGATATGATTATGAGCAGTAATAAATTGTGCTCGAAACTTGGTCATCAGTAAACATTACTGTATAACAGCGCTGTAAGACTTTATCAAAACAAAATTTACCCATAATGGAATTACACTCTACTACAGTGCACAAGTTTTATTCTTATATCAAACTGACTTAAGCGACTCAGGGATTCACCTGTTACCAGGAAATAATCTTGCTGACTTAGAATATGTTGGTTGATACAATCAGACCAGTGAGGTGAAGACGCTGAGAAAATGTATAAGTTTTCTGAGTACCTTGAGTTGAGCAGCAATTAGCGAACGTTTCGCATGAGATTCGCCTGCTCCTGTCAAATGTAAGATGATGCTATAGGACTGGACTACATCAACACTCACTCCTAGCTTGAAGGTAGACAGGAGTGAAGTAAGTGGTTGGTGGTGTGTGCTGACCACTTCACTTATTTGGGAAAATGCATCAGCCTCACAATAGTCTCATTTCTGATGAAATCTCAGCATTGATACAGAAGGTTAGTGCAGTGCACTCTCCGTTATCCTTTATAGCTGGCTGTAAGACATGGCCATTGAAAGTCAAAGATACGAAAAGGCTAATTGTCTTTGATCAGAGGTGTCTGCGTTTTTTGTCCCCCGAGTTAAGTGGCAGTAGGTGTAATAGGGTGAGTAATATTGAGGTTGAAAGTTGAATGCCAGGTAAGGAGGGGAAATCAATAGATGAGGTTGTAAAGTAACATCGATTGATATGTTTAGAACATGTGTTACACATGACTAGCCTAGCCATCACCTTCCTTCCTCAATGGGCAATGTTAGCTGACACACCATCGGGTTGGAAAAGAACTAGTGGTGGTCAGACCAAAACATGCCATCAGTCAATTAAATCTGCAACAGTTAGTTTAAGCAGCCAGCCAGCCACATAAGGAGGTGTAGACTTGTGTAAGTCTCACTCTGTTAAAGTTCCGAGGACAGAACCGTATTGCTGGCGAACAATAAGGAGGTAACAGCAGTAAGCTGTTCCGTTCAGTCCTACAACAAGCCACCTATTCTATCTCTCTACTCTGGGGACTGGGGGCTAGAAAAGATCCAACCAGACAATTATTCATCCCGATATACCTTGCAACAGTTCATAGACGAGGATAAAATGTTAGTATGAACAGCATTCTAAAGAGACAACTCAAATAGGCCGTAAGTGATCGGCTTCAGGAAGTTGTTTTCTGGGCTCAGCGGTCACACAACACCAATGTTCTTTCTGTTCGAGATATTTCAAGAACAAATCAGTTTTGCACAGTTTGAGCATCCGGGAAGTTATAACCACCCACACACCTACTTCCTTCCATAAATACACAAAACTCTCCTAAAGATCATTTCACTGTGGTAACTCAATGAACCCACAAAATATACTAGTCACGTTATTTGTGGAAATAATTAGAGCAAGTGAGAGACAATAAGACGAACAGTCACAGTGATATAATAGAGAAGATTTGTAGCTCAGGTGGATGATTTTCATGTAGCTGTGTTCTCTGAGCTAGCTGGATGGTTTATTTGCGAAGCTTTTATTGCCCCCTAATAGGTAACATCTTTAGAAAAAAACGCTACATTGGCCAAAGTGGACGCCCGTCCTCTTCGTCTTCGTATCTATGAATATAAACTAATGGTGAAAATTCATGAATTATTCCCATTCGGACATTAGTAGACAAAAGACAAGTAGTTCAGCAAAGAGTCTCTTTTCGGCGAATTCATTTTCAAAGCTGTACAATCGCAAATATATATGGTTATTTTGTGTGTGTGTGTGTGCATACATTAAATTTGTTAAACAAAATATGGTTAGTAAGTTCAAATGAATTGGATGTTGATAAGAGGGTAGCAACAAAAGTGAACACTACCCAGCGGGGCTACAGAAAGGAAATAATGGCCATATAAGGAGTGCAATAATCGAACATCTAGTCAACACTGGTCATT